GGACTTGTTAGTTGTGCCCCAAGATCGTATCTTACGGACTCGTCTTCTCGGCGAATTCCACGATGCACGACTTTTGGCACACCTTGGCGTGAACYGCACACTMGCACGCCTCCGCCARCGTTTTCACTGGCCCGACGTCCTTCATGACGTCACGAGGTACATTGAGTCATGTGCAGTTTGCCACCGTAACAAGGGTCGATCTCGAGTCCCCTTCGGCGAACTGAAACCGTTGCCGATTCCTCGGGCACCACGCCTCTCCATTGCTATGGACGTAACAGACCCGTTTCCCCGCAATCGCCACGGCCATGACGGTATTCTCACAGTCGTTGACCGTTTGAGTAAGTATGCTCGTTTTCTTCCTTGCAAGTAACATGCTGCAGCGCCTGAGCTCGCACGACTCTTGCACACCGGTTGGATTACCAACATAGTGAGCGACCGAGACACTTGCTTCATGTCAGCCTTTTGGACTTCTCTCATGACGGAGTCCGACACGACAACGAAGCCGAGCTCGGCTCTGCACCCGCAGACGGATGGTCACACGGAGCGAGCACTGCTGATCTCCTTTTGCCACAGGTTGCCGACATAGACGTCCCTTGCTCTCCCGCTTCTGTGAGGAAGTATCGGGACTTGCTGATCAAAGCCCGCGCGAATATGCAAAAGGCTCAGGTCCGCATGCAGCAGCAAGCTAACCGACGTCGCCTTCCATGTCCTTTCCGCGAGGGAGACCTTGTTTGGGTCCTCTCCGAGGAATTTGCGCTCGAGCAGGATGTTTCGCGCAAACTCCTTCCGAAATGGTTCGGACCATGGGAAGTCACTTCTGCCGTTGGAGACGACCCCGCCGGTCCTTCCTTCGTGATAAAAATTCCACCGCACCTAACAATGCATCGGGTCTTCCATGCATCGAAGTTGGCCATCTACATGCCACCTCCAGCTGACAAATTCCCCGGACGTCGATCACAGGATCCGCCTTCTATGGACGGACATYAGGAAGTTGACCGAGTCATCACGCACCGCAAGTATGGCAACAAGCCAAGGCAGTACAAGGTTACATTCAAGCAATGTGCGCCTGATGACACTCGGTGGATCTCCAGTGAAGATTTGCAGACTTCTGCACCCCTCATCTTCGCAGACTATGAGAAGACGCCTTGCTAAGGACGCAGCTCGTCCCGCCCGACCCACCCCGGTATCGGACAGACAACCTCGCAGGTAGCTCGGACTTTCAAGAGGGGGAGTGTGTTACATCTTCGACTCACACGGGTCCTACCGGACCCGACTTAGGGCCGGAGGGACACA